AAAAAAAAAAAAAAAAAAGAAAAGAGAAGAGAAAGGAAAAAAAGAGGTGCCCGGCATGGTGACATATACCTGTAATCCAAGTGCTTGATAAGCTAAAGTAGAAGGACTGTCTAGAGTTTGAAGCTATCTTGGAATACACTGCAAGACTATGTCATTGTCTTGCCTCAGCCTTCCAGAATGTTGATATTACAGGAGTGCATCACCACACAGGTTTGTAAATAGGGATTAGGAGGAGTGGGAAGTGAGGTAGGTGAACAGAAGACAAGTTCATTCCTTTATTTTTGATTTAATGCCCTTCTTATAAGAACAAAGTCCTGAAAGAAGAAATGTTCCCGAGGTATGTTCCCCATCTTTCTTAGAAATTTATTTCTCGGCTGAGGAGATGGCTCAGTGGAATAAGCGCTTCCCTGGCAAGCGCAAGGGCCTGAGTTCAATCCCTGGTTCCACAAAAAAGAGAAAGAAAGAAAGAAAGAAAGAAAGAAAGAAAGAAAGAAAGAAAGAAAGAAAGAAAGAAAGAAAATTTATTTCTCAAAAGCAGCTTTGTGGTATACAGTACATACTAAACATGTGTAAGACCCTGGGTTCAATCCCCAGCACCTCCTCTCCAAAAAGCAAGGAGGACCCAAGCTATAACAATACAATCACAGTTTCCCAAAAGCATAAAATTCATGAAAAGCTGGTGGAATAACTAGCCTATCAATGGAATGGTTCACCAGGAACTCTGGGACTGGGGATGTAGAAATATAGGTTTGGGAGTTACTGCATTAAGATTATAATTAAAAACACAAGAGAGCTGAGAGTGATCCCAATACCCTGGGAAGCTAAGGTAGTAGGATTTCAAGTCTGAACCCAACTTGGACAAGTTAATGACTTAGCAAGTCTCTGGCTCAAAAAATAAATAAAGTAAAAGGGCTGAGTGTTGCTCAGTGCTAAGGGGTTGGGTTCAACTCCTAGTATCAAAAACAACAACAAAAAATCAAATGAAACTACATGACTCTGCAACAGAAGTATAAAAACAGAAGGACAAAGCCAGTTAAGGTAGTAAACAAAGTGTCAAAAGTAAACTGTGGTAGGCATTGTGGTGTATGCCTACAATCCCAGCAGTCTAAAGGCTAAGGCAGAAAAATCACAAGTTTGAGGTCAAGCTGAACAACACAGGGAGACTTGTCTCAAAGGAGAGAGAAAGAAGTTTTCAGGAGAGAGGCACATACAGTCTTTGTCTTATTTCTTGACCCACATATCTAACAAGTCCTCGCAGTTCTGACTCTAAAATATAAATGTATCTACTTCCCCCATCATTTCTGCTACCAACCTACTTGAAGATTCCTTTATTACCTGGATTTCTCCAAAAGTTTTGTTACATATCACAATCAATTTTTGTGTCAAGATAACACATTTCTCTTTACAGCAATTAGGTTTTAAAATAAAAACCACAGCCTACGCGTGGATATGTACCTATAGTCCCCACTACTTGAGAGGCTAAGACAAGAGGATTCCTTGAGCTCAAGGAGGCCAGATT